GATTGGGAGGATTAGGAGGATTTTTAAACGATTGAAAGGGGGGGGGGGGGTTACCCGAAAAACATCAATGCTATTAGGTAGAGTCTGGAAAATTTTTTGCATCAAAAACATTTTCTCCTCCAAATGACTTCTTCGAATGACTGTAACTGTGAATTTCTGTACCATTATTTTTTTTATTAAACTGTCATATAATTCGTATTTTAGTGTTTTGATGCGCGGGGAGCTTTACCTGGACTTCTGCATGCCCTTTGCCCTGAGTTGTCCCTTAATTACTAGGAAAATCCCAACCAACTAATACTCARAGAAAACGTTGCTTTCACTTGGACTAATGAAGCCTTTTAGGAGTACACTCCTCCCCTGACTTGAGTTTGTTTGATGTGTTGTTCTCTCCCTTGCCACAAGGGTATTTTCCGGGTTCTCCGGTTCAACTTGTGAGTTTAGTGTTGTATGTTGTAAATATAGAATGAAGTAGTAGTGTGTGTGGAGGGAACCTCACAGAAAAGTGGACGTGACAGTTGTAAAATATGAGTTAAGTTATAAGTTCTTCCAGGATATTTCTTCGGATTGTCTGGTATTTCATTCTCCGTCTTTAGCAAAACAAATAATAACTTCTAAATTTCTTTTGGAATTCAGTGGAAGTAGAGACACTCTGTGGATTCACTGTTTATTCCCTTAGCTTCTATTTATTCATTTAGATTTATTTTTTATTCACTTTCTTCACACACAAAAAAATAAATGTAACAAATTACAATAAATATAATGGTGAATAGCGAAGGCTGACAATGATGCCAAAAGGACCTGGGAACCAGTCACGATCCGCGCGCGCAAATACGTAGTTTCTCACTATGACTTCACAAATCTTTCGCGATTTCCCATTCGTATAGTTTTCTTCATTCGCGAAACACTGTTGTTCTGCGCTGCGATAAAAACGTAGGAATTAGTCTTATTAACAAAAGTTGAGTTACGAATTTCAGTCCTAAAAGATGGGGTGCGCGTACAGTAAACCAAAAGTTCGAGAAACAGAACCGGTAAGTGTCTGATTCACTTAGATTTGAAGGGCGTAGTTCACCACCAAAAATGTCATTGATTTGGTTTGCGCGCAATAAGTAATTTTACCTTTGTGTCACATTGCCATTTTTATATTGAATCTCATTACACATTTTGGAAATCAAAACCAATTTAAAAAATAATTAAATTACTTGATTTTAGAAAAATGTACGTAGCCTTATATACGGAATCCTTCGTAAAACTTTAACAAACAAAATATATAGTAGAAACTTGTTGATAAATTGGATCACCGTAAAAAGCTTTGTGAAACTGACGTTTCGTCGGAGTAAGTGGAAAGAAAAGATGAGAAGGGGTGATTAAATACTAAGGTGGAAAATAAAATGACCAATTCAATGAGAAATAAGCATATGAAGAAATATGCTCATTTCTCATTGGCCATTTTATTTTCCATCTTAGCATTTATTCACCCCATCTCATCTTTTCTTTCCACTTACTCCGACGAAGGACTAACGTCCGAAACGTCAGTTTCACAAAGCTTTTTACGGTGATCCAATTTATACGAGTTCAATTCCTACTGTTTTATTCAGAAACACCAACGCAGTCCACGCTAGATCTACTAGCTATCACCACACAAAATATAGTTGATAGATGATGCACTAGTTGTGAAAATAACTACTATAATTGGGTTTTCTCATTTCAGATTACTATGGATCAACTTCAAAAGGAGTTATTCAAGTTCAACAAAAATATTCGGGGCTACTGGAGGCGAAAGAGTAAGACTTCCATCAATATTATTATTACTATGATTCGATTTTATCAATTTATGCAGAAAAACTGACCATAGTATTTCATGGTTACAGAGACCTTCTGTTTAAAAGTGGTCAAGCAAAATAATCCTCAGGCAGAGGAAAGACCTCAAACCAAGGCAGGGGTACCTTGCGATGATAAACTGTGCTCAGGAAAACCTACAAACCAGGGTCCTTCAAATAAAAAACCAAAAACAACAACAAATTCGAAAGAAATCAAGCAGGATGTCACTCCACGTGTACTGCGCTCTGTGTACTCAAAAACCGCGCCGAACAAAATCCGAAGATCTTTATCAGTGAAAGCAATGCCTCCAGCAAAAAGATCTCTACCATTTATACAAGAAAGAAAATGAAGGTGAATAAACGCTTATGCTAACTTGGCCTTTTTCAATAATAACATTTTAATTGTAGAATAATAAACACTAGACTGCAAATGTTTTTCAAAGGTATATACCTTCTAGATATTATTTCCAGTGGAATCGTATTCTAGAAGTCCTTTTTTAGTAATCCTGCAAGGTATCATTATAATAGCTAATGCCAATCTCCACAACAGTTGGACAAGCGTCGATTTTCATCTGGATTCAAAATGAAAATTAAGTGTTAATATTTTGTCAGAAACCTACTGGCTTCCGATCCATAAAAGGTTTCGCCCCATGTAAGGAAATCTGGAATCCGGAATCCGGAATCCGGAATCCGGAATCCGGAATCCGGAATCCACAAAATTTTAGGCTTTGGAATCCAGAATCCAGCACTCTGGAATCCGGAATCCTTGGAATCTGGAATCCAGTTTATAATGGAATCCGAAATCTACCCATTTGGAATCCGGAATCCACTACTTTGAAATTCAAAGTATACACTCAAATGCTATCGCCTCGACCTAGACTGAACCGATGTAGCCCCTCCCCCACTGYGTAATATCTCCACCAAGAATATCTGTCATCAGATGCTGATTTAATTGATAGACGATTCTACTTATACTGGCAAGTATATCAAATATGATTTTCAGAGAAAGTATCTGAAAATTAACGATATGGAATCCGAAATCCGCAATACAAAAGTTTTGGAATCCGGAATCCAGACCCTTGGAGTCCGTAATCCAGAGTCTCGGAATCCAGAATCCAGCGCTTGGAATCCGGAATCCACCATAAGTCCGGATTCCCTTACATTGGGCGAAAGGTTTGCTATACGTTTGCAAGACATTCTTTCTCCCGTTCAAAGCCTCCCAAGTGTAGTGTAAATTGTACTCCAGCTTTTTCCCCCTTGTATTCTTACTTTCACTTCTCTTGCTTGTTCTTATTAGTGAACAAAGGCAAGTTTCCATTGCTGATATTGTACTAAGTTCACAAAAGAGTGTGCAACATACGTACACGCAAGGGAACCAGATGAGCGTTCTGAAATACTTCCATCGTGATAGACTGTACCATCCAGACAGACATTATATCTTCATCAGAGAGATTGGTCGAGGAGGTTTTGGACGGGTTTACCTCGCAAGAAACAAACTAATACAGGTACTAACCTCATGATAGGAAGTGTGAGAAACACAAGTATATACGGCCTGTCATAACTCTGCTCTGGCAAAAAAGTGGTACATCATGATTATCCCTAACATGTTGGTTTTCTTTTTCGTGATCAGGGCGAAGAATATGCCATCAAGACCATCTCGCTTGAACATTCAGACGAGAGAAGCCTGCTGATGGAGCTCGAGGCCCTGCTTACCTTCAAGCACAAAAATATCCTCGCTCTTGCAAACAGCTACCTCACCGATGGATTCTTGTACATCGTCACAGAATATGTGGCTGGGATGAGCCTTTACTCGATGATGTCCAACTTTTCAAACGGTTTACCAGAGTACATCGTATCACACATTATGAGAGAATGCCTGCAAGGACTTGCACACTTACATCAGTCTGGATTTATCCATTGTGACATAAAGACCGAAAACATCTTGATTAGTAACACAGGCCAGGTAAAAATGACTTTTTTCTTTGCAATGCGTCAAATACTAACAAGTCAAAAAACTGGTTATATACACCAAAAATCAATCATTGCCCTTTACTACTGCAGCAAAAGGGATGGCACTAACGTCATTAATATGTTTGCAGATTAAAATCGCCGACCTTGGACTAGTGGTGAGAACGACGCAACCGATACAACCAGGATTCCGAGGCACGCAAATGTACGCGTCGCCAGAAATGGCAAATGAGCTTCCATACGGCAAAGAAGTAAGGAGTTAGTTATTTTTATCTTAGTTAACTCTATATTATCAAACTACGAACTACTGGGCGGTCTGGTGACGGAGTCATTTTCCTACAAAGCCTGTTCACTCCTCGAAGGGTATATGCCATCAACAACATGAACGCCACGGAGCCCTGTTGTGACGTCATATTGGCTTCAATAGGGAGTCCCTCCCACATCCAGGACTAGATTCTCTGATTATTTCTCTGTTGATGTTTCTGTAGCGGTTTTAGTTTTTACAAGGAAGGTTTGCTGGCCTTTCGCCTATAACCCTCCTCCTTTCTCATCCGGGCTTGGGAACGGCCATGACAGAGTCATGTCTATGCTTTAATCTATTTGATGACTGTATGAACACATGGAGTTCAACCTGGACTTAAATCCGGGCCTTTTAATTTTGTGGTTGTGCTCAAGCGAATTCGGAAAAAGTGATGTATACATTAATTGCAAGTAATGTGGACATGCATTCATCAGCGTCGTACTCAGTGTCATATACATTATTACTGTACGTCATCTCATTGTTTGATATCATATCCACACAATGTTTTGATGTGAACAGTATCGTAGTTGTTACTGACCATGGAATTCTTAGTTTCTAAAATACTCCTCAATTCACCTTTCACCTGTCATTTTCTTGCCATAGATCGACATTTGGGGCCTGGGTATTGTTGCCATGGAGTTGTTTTCCAAGGATATCCACCATTACGGGTTGCTGATTGCATGGAATGCTTTGTGAACATGGCTAAGTCTGGCTACACCATAATGAATAATGAGGCTGCATCCAGGGCTTCAGAAGACTTGATGAACTTCTTGTACAACGGGACATTGAAATGTAATCCTGCAGATCGATTATCTGCTGACGAGCTGCTCACCCATTCTTTTATTTTGAGACATGAGCATTGGGGTGGGTGTTGTGATTGTCTGTCATCATTTATGAAATGGGTGCTGGAGCCGGTATAAAAGCTCAGATGATGCTGGTTGATGCTATAATCATTGATTTTGAACAATTACAAAATGGAATTGACGTTTTATTCGAATTTTATTGTCTTGTAAATGTAATTATCTTATAAGGATTTTAAAAATTAAATATTGTCAATCCTGGATTATGTCAGACACGTGTAAATAATATAGACATCCTTTCTAAAGAAAAAATATAAGAATCATCGTTTTGTTGAATTTAAAAAGTCGTTTATAAAAAAAATTATATAGGCTGAATATATAAAAAACATCTAAGGCTAGATGAAACGAAGAACAAGTACAAAAAAAGTACTTTAAATGCGGTGAGAATCGAACCCGCGTCCACCAAATTTAATCAGATAATTTAATTCAAAAATACAAAAGAAAAAAACTAGTACCTTCATGCCATACCCCGAGACATCTGCTGGGTCGTCGTATGAGAAATAACACTTCTTTCGCTCTGTGTGGTTATTTTTTGAATTTAGCCCGTTTAAAGGATTCTTCCCCCACCAAATTCAAAAAATAACCACACAGAGCGAAAAAAGTGTTATTTCTCAATGATCTGGTAAAATTTCGAGGCTTTATTTCACGTTTCAATGATTTTGTTGAAATTTTTGATGAATCCCCATACATTTCCTTATAACAAGACACCACAGAAACCAAGCTTGGGCTACCTGTGGTGTTTTCGATAGTAGTTAACCTACCACCGTCTAGGTCCCCCTGAGGAATTATTTCGTTCCTTACCAGTCTTTCTCTACCAGGCTGGCGCGCGAGAAAATAAATACATTCACTTCACCTTAGTGAATAAAATAAATCGTGACATGAGGACATCAGCTTATGTTTAGTCGAGCGACAAACTTGAACAGCCTCTAACAGCCCCCACAATTTGACCTTTTGCATTATCTAGAAAGAATACGCGTCAGTGATCGAGCTTTTCATGGCCGAAACTTTCGGTTTTCCAACTCGAATCTTCCCTCCGCCATTTCGTCCCTCGAAGGTTTAGAATAAATTAACAAAATGGGGAATACACACGCTAGAAAGCCAGACGATACCAGTAAAAGAAGACGACGTCCAAATAGTATCGCTGTTGACAAACCAATCGAAACTCTGACAACAGAATCAAGTGGAAAACGTGAGTTAAGAAGAAACTCTAGCCAGAACTCCTTCCGAAGACGATACACGGAATCCGGCAATTACGCTTACAAGACACCTTGGCCAGCACCAATGAGTGAGGTGGTGTTCTGGCCAGAATATGAATCAAAACCTCCCGTTAGATTCACCGATTTTGAGGTAGGTCATTAAGTAAATAAGGTAAACAGCTTTGATACTAAGAAAACAAACGCACACTTTAATATTGAGGATAATATGGCTCTAGTGCAGTGTGCGCGACTTGTCTCGCTGTATTCTCTGCCATTTATCATTACATTCGATTATTTTAGAAGTCCAAGATTTCGAACCATCTGCTTTTATGGGTAAATTAAGATGTCAAAAATCATATATTTACACCCCGGCATCGATATTTGAACCAAAATATTATGGAAGTATTTTTTCTCCCCTTGAGATGGGTCCTGTTTTCGCCTTAAGCTTATATTATTTAATCATAATTTCACTTTTCATTTTTCAAGGAGACCTTCCCTAGTTACTAATCATTGGTGGTTGTCCAATCATCCACGGCAAATTTCCTGTAAGATTTTGAGTGCATTGAACGACAGAAACAGTAGAGTACAATCTCCTGAGGCGCTAATCGTGATATAATAAACGAAATACTGTTCAAACTGAAGTACAGGTGGTAAATGAAGTGGATAGCGGAATGAGATCTGAAAAATCCAGCAACGTTTGCGAATTTCCCTTTACAGCGCTGTAATATTATGTCCAAAAACACTTGAATATATCCTCCGTGCTCAGAAAATAACGCTCTCTGACTATCAATGTATTATATTGCGCCATGCAGTTTTAAGAAGACGCATTTTCTAGTAAACAAAATTGTTTTTTTATCTTTCTTTATGACATATAATCAACACTCTATACAATTACCTGTTTATAATTTTCCTTTTCATTTCGTATTCTTTTTTTTTTCTCATAATATTTGACTATTAAATTTTTTTCTTTTTATCGTGTTTTAATGTCGTATGCTTTATTATGAAAATGTTATCTCAACACGAGGTTACTTGTGGCTGGATTATAATTCAACAGGAAAACAACTTACATCCCGATGTACATCTTCTTGAAATTATTATTAGATTTGGATACAATTGTTTTTTGAAAACGAAGCAAATTTAACTATTACTGGCAGATTAATACATGTTTTGCTTAAGATTATAAATTCTTTTTTGGTTTAGATAAGAAAAATGAAAAATGCATAATTAAAAACGTTTTACGTTTTCCAGAACAGATAAAAAATAAAGTCATTGAGTTTTTTTTTTTTTTTTTTGCCGCTTTTAAACTATTTATAGAACATATGAGATGTTTTTAACGACGACAATTCAATTGGATTTTTACATGTGTATTCGATTGATATTTGAACATTTTAAGTCTATGCAAGCTTTTAAAAATAGCCATTTTAGCTTGCATAATATATGACTTTATTTACTGATATAGGATGAAAAAGAGATTTAAGATAATATCTAAAAATGTAGATAAATGCATGTGTTTTTAAAAAATTAACGTAGCTAGAAGCAGCTACATACGTGATAATTATAGATTAGCTATAATAATAATAATACTTTATTCAAAAAAAATGTAGATTACATATTTTGAAAAGGAAGACATTGAGGTTAGCCCTATATAAGTCCCC